TGTGGTATGTGCACAGATAGGGGAACCCTGACGTTTATCAGCGATGTAAACAAGCCGGGTGAGGTGGCATACCTGCACTCAAGGAGTTAAGAGGCAGGCAGATTTCTGAGTTTGAGGCCAGCCTGGTCTACACAGTGAGTCCAGGACAGCCAAGGCTACAGAGAAACATTGTCTTGAAAAACCAAGAGAGAGATGTAAACAAATAGTCACACCTTTGAGGGCACCAGTTTGTAGTGCCTTACAGGACAGTCAGCTCGTGTGCAGTTAGGGCAGAATTCTATGCAGATGGCCTGGAGGCACAGGAGCAAGTGTTTGGACGTCACCGATGGTCTGGTGACCCTCTCCACCCACTGCTTGTATGAGGGAACATTGGCAGGGAACAGTTCCAGTCTTGGGGGTTGCCAGTAGTTGCAGCTACTCTGATGGAAGATGACACTACATAAAGCAACTTTCAGTTGGGGCTTGATGGATCCTAAAGGGTTCTCTCTTCCTGGACTCATTTGTGGGCAACACAATCCTAGTAGGATCTAGGAACATCACCGGGTCTGGTGTCCAAAGAGATACTTTGCTATGAAATGGATCAGTGCTTGATAGACTATGGGCATTTGAACCTCTGCTGTGTCTCCTTTCTGTTAAACTGGCAGGGCTTGGAGCAACAACCAAGGAGTTCTCACCAGGGTGCACTGGCTCCCAAACGAACCAACCTAGTACCTTGGCTGGGCTCCTGCAAGGCATGTGTCTAGCCAGCAGGTGGTGCTAATTCCCTTATCCAAGAGATCAGAGAAGCATCTTGTCCCAAGACATCACCTTGAATTGAGATTTTTTAAAAATGTTTATATTTCTTTTTTATGTGTATTGGTGTTTTACTTGCATGTATATCTGTGAGGGTGTTAGAATTATCAACAGTTGTGAGCTGCCATGTGTGTGCTGGGAATTGAACCCAGGTCCTCTTGAAGTTCTTAACCACTGAGCCATCTTTCCAGTGTCCTTGTATTGAGACTTTAAGCATAGTTTCAGAGACAAAAAGCAGACAGCAGGGGACAGCTAATGACCTCCACGGGTCCCTGGGAGTATAGGGTCATGGTTATTATGGACTCTGGCATCAAGCCCCAGTTTGACTCCTACTTGTGTTTTTACAGTGAGTCTGTCAGTGTATGAGTTTGTGGTGCCTGCCTACCTGTTAGGGCTATGAGAGCAAAGTGAGCTATTGAAGGAGCACAAGGTGGTCCTCAGGAACTAGTGACTGCCTGCCTGCATTGTGATGGCTGACAGAGACATAGTTACACTGGCCCTTGGTACTTTATACCCATGGTGTTAAGCTTTGACTTAGCTTTATCCTTAAGCCTGACGTGATTGTTCATCAATCCAGCTGGTTATATTGGCACACACCTTTAATCCCAACATCTTGAAGTAGGCAGATCTGAGTTCAAGGCCAGCCTGGTCTGCAGAGTTACAGGTCAGCCAGGACCACATAGAAAAACCCTGTCTCAAAAAAGCCAAACTCCACAAAACCAAAAGCTTATCAATTCTGGCAGGGAGGCAAGCAGCAGCAGAATCTAGCTAGGACAGAAGCTTGAAGGATCCCTCTGTTTCCCAACCCCATACTAAGAAATTGAATGATGCACCTTGAAAAGAGGTGGACATTTCTCATTAAGGCAGAGTTCTTTTTAGTCTAACAGCACCAAAATAGGCAAGCGTCCTCATTTCCCGCTTTGGTGCATTGGATTGCCCCTCTTGCCCTAACTTTGGATTGAGCCTCTGCAGTCTCCACACTCAGAGACCTACATCTAGACTTCTACCTTTGGCAGGGTCTGGTCTTCCTCTGTGGTCCCAGTACTCACCCAGGCGGAATGTCAACATTGTCAGAATTCTGTAGACGTTCTCAAAATAGAAGCTGGTTTTACTTCTCAGAGTTTTTATTTTCATCCCGTCTTTGTGACTTTCTTTTTTATCCTCACATTAGTTCAACAGTGACTTAAATGCCTATAAAATATGTATAATCTGGCATTCTTGTTTACTTCTAAAGACTGGTCTGATACTGCCCATTATTGGAACACAAAAGGCCTTTTGCATTAAATATTCCTGCAGGAATACCTGGATAGGAGCCATATGTGAAGGAGGTAAATACATCTTAAACCGAAGCAGCACTCAACTCTGAAATACTTTAAAATTTATATTTATCTTGTGCCTGTGTGGCATGTGTTCTTTCACAACACATGGAAGAATATAGCTTACAGGGGTTCATTCTCTTCTGCCACGTGGGCCCCAGAGACCAAACTCAGGTTGGCTGTCTTGGTGATCACTGAGCGGTGGTCAGCCCCCACTTCCTTTAAAGAACTGCATGGAAATAATTTCCCCTCAATGCCTAGTGGGGAGGGTGGAGAGGCAGGGAACCCCTTGGGTTTCCTGTAGCTGTGGCCCAAAAGCAGGAAGAGGAAATCTGATGGACTGCAAAGCAGCCCTGCTCAGGAAATGGCTTGTCCTCCTCCCCATCAGATCTGATTCAGCTTGTCATAGGCTCAGGTGTCTGCTAGCAGGTGCAAATGAGAGGAAGGGGAGCTGGTTTTTCTCAGCACGATTCAAGTGAGGTTTTGGCATCTTGATGTGTCAGCTGAGACTATTTTCTGCCATTGAGAGCATTGTTGCAGAGAGCTTCACTGTTGGTGTTTTGTCCACAGAACCCTTTGATACAGAGGTATTGGTAGAAACTATATACCAGCCCAATAAAATTGCAGTTTTCCTATCAAAAATCATGTGCAAATGGATATGTTTATGGTTGTGCAGGGCAAGGTCTAACATTATATAATTCCCTCAGAGTCGGGGGGGAGGGGATGAAACATGAAGAAAAGCCCATGACCAATTGTTGGGAACTATGAGGAGGTTACCCCTTAGGTTTGTGAATGTTTTGTGGACAAGGAAGAAATGGGAGGGAAGATAGCACGTAAGATGGAATAGAGAATGCATAGCTTCTAACAACAGAACCACTTTCAGACTAGTGGCTGCCCACTGCTCAGTTGGGCAAAGATCTAAAACAATATGGAGATATGGAGGGGCAGGTCCTCATACAATCTCAGCCCAGTGTCAGAAAGGATGTGGCTTCTGTCTGACCAAGAGTTATCTAAGAATTTTCTTCTTAGAAAGCAGTACACAAAGAGGTCCACACTTACAGAACTGCATTCACACTTGGGACCTGAATCGATAGGCTTCTGTTCCTTTAACAGAACAGATGTGTCCACAGAAAGCTGGATAGCACAGATGTTTAAAATGATACAAAATGAGGCACTGGGGCTGCAAATACAGCTCACTCAGCTGGGAGAGCATCTCTACTTAACACTCAGTATCCAGTGAAATCAGGAATGGTGGCACATGGCTGTGATACCAGCAGGAGGATCAGAAGTTCAAGGCTATCCGGTCAGCCTGGGTTATATCAGACCCTGTCTCAAAAAAAACCAAAGACATACAAGGATAAATATGTAGAATGTTAGGGATGATGCTGGTTTAGTAAAGTGTGAGCTCTCCAAACATATACATTATATATAACATATGGACTCAGTGGGTTGTATTTATATATTTAGGAACACACGTAATAATGAAGGCTATGAATTTGAAAGGACAAGGGGGTATATGTGGGAGGAGTTGAAAGGGAAGAGGGAAATGTGATTATCTCAAAAAATAAAAAGTTTAAGGGATCAGTAAGATAGCTCAGTGAGGAAAGTGATGTGCAGGCTAGACCACCTGGATTTGATCCCTGGAATCTATATAAAGGTAGGAGAGAACTACAGAATTTACAGAGAGTAATACAGACTCTCCATTGTATATATCCTGGCACACTCATGCCTCACCCTCCAGGCATACATACACACAACAATATAAAAAGAAAACCAAACAAAGAATGATGCAAGATATTTACTGTTTGTTTTAACTTGGTTTGTGTGGGCTAGTGAAGCTCAGGTCAACAAAAATGCTTGCTCTGCAAGCCTGACAACCTGAGTTCTATCCCTTGCATCTATTTAAATGTCAAAGAACTGTCAGATGACCCCAACATATGTCTACCTATCTCCCAGTAACAAAACAGATTTTGCCAAGTGCTCCGTGTTTGTTTGTAAGCCTTGGCTCTCTAGGAATTCCTATGTAGACCTAGCTGGCTTCAAACTCAAGAGATCTGCCTGTTGCTGTCTCCCAAATTCTGATTAAAGATGTGGGCCACCTTGCCAGCTTCCCTGTAGACTTTTGACTCAGGAATGTAGTAAACATGAGATGTTGGCATAACAGTGTCCAGTTTTAGTCAGTTTTTGTAAGAAGTTAAATACATGCTAACATGATGGCAAAGGCCAGTGAGGTCATCAGGTAAAGATACTTGCTGCACAAGCCTGATGACCAGAGTTCAATCCCCAGAACCTGCATGAAGGTACAAGGAAAGAACTGACTCCACAAGTTGTCCTCTGACCCCCACATGTACCTTTACACACATACAGTAATAATTTTTGAAAGTTAAAAAATGAAATAGTGACTAGAAAATAGAGGAAATATGCAAGCCAGTTAACAGTCCTTTGTTATAATCAAGTATTATGTACTGTGGGTATGCTCGTGTAATATGCTCTGCTGGTATACACTCAGCACAAGCTTTTGCATATCTGTGACACTACATCTATTGTTACAGTGGCTGCGGCATCATGAGTGACAGGAGCTTCTCACCTCCGTTTCAGTGTACAGATACTTGTCATAAAGGTGGCAGGTTGTTGGCTGAAACCTTATGGGTAACATGACTGTGTAATAAGTGTCATGATTCTGACTCCAAGGACGAATTTCTCACGTGGCTCACCCCTGTAATCCCAGCATTCTGAGGCAGAAGAATCACTGAGTCAAAACCAGGCTAGGCCATAGAGTAAGACCCTGTTCTCCCTCAAACACACCCTCAGAAAAGATATACCTCAGGTTTCATAAATAACTTTCCCACATCTGCTTTCAGTAGATTTCAAGCAATGGTTTATTGAGCCCATTTAACATCTTGTGCCTTCCCAGAGCTTCTGGGCCCATGCCCAGCTCAAACCCACAAACACACCAGCCCCCAGGACCAGAGTGATGGCCAGTAGCAGGAGGAGCAACCAGAGCAGGAGTCTTGAGCTGGAGTTGGGGCTGGAGCCTGTCAGGGTAGGGGTTGGGAGGTACATCTGGAGCTGTCTGCAGATAAGGGGCTGCCCTATCTTAGTTCCTCAACCAGTGGAGTTACACCATACCTCTGACCTCTGCCTTCCACACGGCCAGAGCTTTCCAGTTTTATCAGCATTTTTAGAGAGGACCATGGCCCTTAGGGGCACACCCAAACCCTGGTACCTGAAGGCTCAAGTTTAGCAGCATCCTCAAAGTCCACTGCCCCTGGAGAGCTCACAATGTCCAGGGCCCGGATAGTGCTGTTGTGACCAGAGGATCGTCGACGCCCTGCCCAGGAGAAAAGCTGTCTTCCAGCTCCTGGTGGCCTGACTACCAGCCACAGGTGTAAGGATGCATCAAAGAACAAACAATAGCCCCAGACTTACTTGCCTTCCCAGAGTCACATGTAGTAGAGCACGCCTCAGGCCCTGCAGGGTGGCAGGCAGAAGCACTACAGAAGAAATAAACCTGGTAAAAAGGAACACAATCAAAGGGGTGGCCTCTGTGCAGCTGTGCTGGCAGCAAGAGGCAGGGGTGAGACATGGGCGAGCAGAGACTAAGATCATAGCTGTCCCACATCTTTGGGGTTACAAACTGTGTTGTTCCCAATTTGGAGCTGAGACCTTCCTCTTCCTGAGGGCCCAAACCTGCAGTAGGAGACACCCTCTGCAAACAGGAACTACTGCATTTAAGAGCTACAGTCCTCTGCCCTCCGGCCCCAGGAGCAGAACTGTTGGTTAGAAGGCAGGGTGTTTTCTTCCCACCCAGCCAGCTAAAAAAGAGGTAAGGTGTGGTCAGAGATGTCTGCTGTCTTCTCTTTATCCCTACAGGCAATACATGGAGGCAGAAGGGAGGACAAGGCAGCACCGCTTCCAAAAACAGCCCAGGGGAGGTGACCAGAGGTAGCACCCTTCATGTAGCAGGTTAGAGCCTCTTGGCTTGGGAGGCAGCACAGAAGTAGGAGTGAGGCGACTCTCAGCCACCCTCAGCGCTGCTTACCAGTGGGACCAGTCCCTACCTGATTAGTTAAGGGCAGGGATTTGAACATGAGAGATCTATGAACACTGACTGATATGATATGTTGTGCTATTGATCATGGGTTGGATCATAATAGTGTTTTTTATGGTGCCATTTGTACACTATACAGAAAAAAACCCTAAGGATGAAACACCCTAAGTATATCCATTCTTATCTTCTGGAGAAATTGCTCGGTTATAAAATCAAAGCAGAAGAAAAAGGAACACATTATCATTTCTAGGATCAGAAGTGAGACCACACAAGGACACCACAACTGATGTTCAGATTGAGGGTTGATTGTAGTCACAATAATGTTTCCTTCTAATGTTTAGTTGCTTTGCATAGGTATGCATGTATAGGGGAATGTGCATGCCACAGCACACATGTGAAGGTCAGAGACAAACTGTGGAAGTTAGTTCTCTCCTTCCACAACGTGGCTCCATCCAGAGAGCGAACTTAGGTCAGCAGACTTGGCAGCAATGACCTTTCCTTCTGAGCCATCTTGTTGGCTACCCCTCTCTGGTCTCTCCCAAGCTGTTTGTGGGTCATCTCTCGGAAGACCTGGCCTCCTATCCATGCTGTTGTTCCAACACTTGGTAAAAGCCATCCTCCAAGCTGGGATCTTTCCACTAGCTTATAGGGTGCTGGAAGGATGTGGTGGTGACCAGCTCACTACCACTCAACAGGGGACTTGGGGCATGATGAACAAAAGGTCTTCCTACCTGTCCCGTAAGGGCATTCTGGGAGCTGGAGTCCAGGAGAGTGAAGGTGGCAACGGTGAAGCGCTGGTAGTGGGACCAGAAGGGTAGCTCCGCCCTGTCTGTAGCTATCAATTGTGTTCTGTAGTTGTCACCCTTGAAGGGACACCTGGATTGAAAAGTTCAGAAGGCTCTTTAAGGAGGTGTGGTGGGCAGGAAGACCTCCTACCCCGGAGAGCAGCTTAAGTCACCTTCTGCCACTCACCCATCTGACAGAATGGACCATTGTGGATGCTGGAAGGCGCTGGCAGTAGGAGTGGCCCAGCACTGGTGTAGTACCAGGGCCAGACTGGGGTCAGTTCTCTGCATGAGCCGGACCTCTACATGGACTGGTTCCTGGAGCAGTCTCACAAGAGGATAGTCACTCTCCTGATAGTAGGAGCTGAAAGTCTCATCTGCAGAGACGGGGGCTTGTGAGCTTAGGACAGATGTGCATCAAGGCATTAGAAGCAGGAATAGAAAGCAGCAGGTGGGGTGGGGTGGAGTGGGGGTGAGAGGCTGTACCCTTGGCAATCCTCAGCTCCAGCCGCAGGGGTCCAGACTGGGTCACAGGGGCAGGTGGTGGGGGTGAGAAGATAGATGCCTGGATGGGCAGGAAGTCGCTAGCATTGAAGATACAGCGAACATTAAGCCTAAAAGTGCAGGAGCAAGAGGTTAGGGGACCGTAAATCAGAGCACCTGTTTACTGAATCACCACATCCAAGCAATGGATACAGTTTACAGCATCCTCCCCAGGGTGCAGAGATGCTCCCAGAGCCATCGCTAGGGCCTGTGGATATCATCGTTCACCCTGCTCTTCTGACCACCTGGTCTGCCTGGGACAGCTTGAGTAGGGCTACTCCAGGTGCCAGGTACAGCATCAGGACAACAGGGCTCCGTCCTAGCACTTGGGGTCTTTGAAGCCTGGTGGAAAGACCTGGATTGTAGAGCCTAAGCCTCATTTATCCTTTTCTCCCATTGAGAGCCTCTAGTGAAGATTGTAGAGGCTACAAGACCGTGCCTTGGGGTCTTGTTTCTCCTTGCAGTTGGCCTGTCAGTGTCGTGTGTCTTCCTCAGTACCCTGCGTGCCACGTGGTCACCAATCCAGAGGCCCAGTGCCCACCAATGATGTGTTTGTTAGGCAGCTGTAGGAATTGCACCTCTACTATCTCGTGCCCCTCTAGCATAACTCCGACAGACTCTAGCCACCCTCCAGTACTTCTGATTTCCTCGCCCGCCAAGTCCTCGATGCTGTGCCGAAACGGGCTGCATCAAGCACTTAAGTCTGAGAGCTTAAAACATGCTAGCAGGCTTGTGTCCTCACCTCTGTGCCATAAGTACTTTGTGCTGAAGCAAAAGACATTTGTACCCTGACAGTAGTCTCACACCCTAATCCTGTGGCAGATAGTGTTGGGGAGAACCAGGTATCCACATGATCCCAAGTACAGGCTTTGTACAACCCATGGCTAATATACTGGCCCTCTCTGGCAGAGCACACAAGTTGGAGTTAGGTGCCTGGCCCTGAAAGCTCAAAGCCAGGTGTAAGAGGGGCAGGCTCCCTTGGGGTCACCCTAGGCAGCTGGGATGGGTTGTGGCCTCTGAGCTAACAGGTCCAGGAGGCCTCTTCCTTTAGGGTTCTTCTCCCGGTCCCTTCCTCCACCACACCTTCAGATGCCTCTGTCTGAGGTATAGTCACCTCATCGGTGGTGTCATTGCCTGGTGGCAACAGCCACAGCTCTTACCTGGGGCCTGGAAGGGATGCCTTCAAATACTGAAGGCTTAGTTCTTAGAGGGATAAAGGCCAAGGAATCTTTGGGGGAGCTGCTATTGGGTATCCCTGCGGCACCATGTACAGACATACCCAGAAGTCTTAGCCTCGCATCTGCATGGTACGGGAGGCTCCAAGAGATACATTAGCTCATTTAGGGTCACCCAGCTAGGCAATACCAGAGTTAGGATTTGTCCAAGCTGGCTCCAAATCTGTGCCGCGCTCTTCTACACCCTTTATACCCGAGGCCCATAACCCAGCTACCGCTCACCGGAAGACACTGTCCCGAGTGATGGAACCCCGTGGCCCCTTTTGGACATCAATGTCAGACACCAGCTGGTTCTCATAGATGAGCTGCTCACCAACCACCTAGGGAGGAAGTAGTGAGCGAGGCTCCCTAGGGGTGGGATTTTCTTCCAGCACACATCCCACCCACCCCCTACTTGGACATGATGATGCTACAGAGGTTGAAGGGGTAGCTGGCAGGTGAGGCCCCTCAGGAGATGGGGCTCAACTCCAGCTCAAGTTCCACTCCTACCTGGATTGCTGTTCCACAGAGGGTAAAAGGGACATGGAAGACCACAAAAGCACTTGTCTTCTGGGTAGGGGGGCATCCATTGGGGGCATAGGCCAGGTAGACATTGTCCAGTGTGACCATGTGTGTCCGGGCTGTTTCTTGCGACATGACCAGGGTGAAATAGCCACTTCTGAAACACTGGAGAGTGGCTAGGACAAAGAGATCCAAGAGGTAGACCAGGGCCCTGGGACTCAGTGTCTCTTCAGCTCAGGAATAGGCGATGGGCTCGGTGCTGAAAACCAATATCTGATCACTAGCTGGAGTCAAAGGACTTGGACATTCATCTTCCCACTGTTGTCCTAAGCAAATGCCTAGGAGCTGATGGAACAAAGGGTTGATGAATGCTACAGAGCAAGGTCGGGGTCAGTAAGAAAGGCACCTAACAGTGCCCTTGGGCAGGTGTTCCTCATGTCTGAGGGTGTCTGCCTCTACTTGGGAGCTGGGTGGAAGGAAGACTTCCCTACCATGACAAAACCTAGAGAAGCATACTTGGGATGAGAGGTTGTACCTGTGTTGCCATAGTAACAGGACACTTCTCTGGTGTTGTCATAACAGCAGCCAGCCTGCTGACAGGCTTCCTTGGAACTACCTTTCACCATGCAGGGAATGCGCTCAGAGGCTACCTGACACCGCTCCTGGGGCAGATGGGCACCTAGGGTTGGCGACAGACCTCAGTGAAGAAATGACACCTTAGAGCCCAAAGGCCCCAAGACACAGGCATGTGTACACAGAGAATTCCCACGTACCTACAGATCCCCAGGGCCCCAAGATGCCCCACTGGGGATGAGGCGTGATGGCTCCAGCAGATCCAGATCCTGGGGCTGGTGGAGCAGGAGTTGAATGGATGAAACTGTGCTCTGGGTACAATGTACTGGGAGTGTGGTCAGATGCAGCCAAGGTGTGGTTAGAGATGAGGTGGAGGGCAGAAGGCTGGGGTGTGGACAGCTGGGGTGTGGATGGCTGGGGTGTGGATGGCTGGGGTGTGGACAGCTGGGGTGTGGATGGCTGGGGTGTGGATGGCTGGGGTGTGGATGGCTGGGGTGTGGATGGCTGGGGTGTGGATGGCTGGGGTGTGGACGGCTGGGGTATAAATGACTGGGGTGTAGGTGGCTGGGGGTTGGGTGGCTTGGGGGTGATGGGTGGAGCCAGGTAGGGGTCCGGAGTCAAGGTGTCTGGTTTGGGACAGATCAGAGTGACATCTTGTGCTGTATCCACACGGCCACTGGGTAGTATGGCTTGCACGAACACCCTCAAGCGGAACCGCCCATCCTGCAGGTGAGAAGGCCATAGAGAGCAGCTGACTATTGCTGCCTGACACTTCAGGTGAGCGCTGGGCTGGAGGCCAGAGCAGGAGGCTACACCCAGGCCTGGAGTGGTTGCCACTTGGCATGGCTGGGGTGGTAGTGGGAACTGAGCAGCCCCTGTAGAGAGGGAACTAATTTGTGGTGTGTCTCCGGATCTCCTTTCTCACCTACACCCTCCCCCACCCATCCTAGTCTCTCTTCTTCTCTGGCCATGAGGTGGCTGCTAGGACAAGCTCCCCGAGACCTTACATTCTCAAGCACGTGGCAGCCTCTGTAATCAGCGGAGAGTACTGCAGGCTCTTGGGGCTCAGAGGTGACCCAGTGGTAGCAGATAGAGCAGTTATTCACCTCAAAACGGTTCCCAAATTCATCTGGGTATGGGGAGGAGATGGAGGTTAGGGGAAGACAGGTGCTGGAGAGCAAGGCTGCAAGGAACCTCTGAAAAGCTCTGGACAGAAGCAGGCTTGTTTCAAGACCTAGTTTTGCTTGCTAGCTCAGCCGTGTGGCCTTAGATAAGTGTCTTTTCCTTTCTGGTTTTGGTTTTTGCTTCTGCCATTGGCTCTTTGTAGCTGGAGTAAAGAGTACTCACAGGGTATCAGGCGCAGACTGAACACCTTATAGTCTAGGTTTAGTTAGCCATGGCTGTGGCATCTGGGAGTCCCAAAGAGCCCGAACTTTCTCGGGCACACACAATAAGGGATAGAACCAAGCTGGTTTGTTATTTTAACTGGCTCAGTCACTCACTTGGGGACACCTGATAGATGCTCACTCACTTTGTGAGCTACTGTGTGGCTGCTGGGAATTGAACTCAGGACCTCTGGAAGAGCAGAAGGTACTCTTACAGTGAGCACCAGCTCCCCCCACCCACACACCTGCCCCTTGCCCTTCTCTTTTAGTGCACAGGGCTCGTTCCCACCTCGCGGATGTTGCTCTGAAGGTGCAGATTCAAACTGTCACACAGAACCCCCCACCCCTATGCCCATTCTCTACTTTAAGTCACACCCTCAAGGGCTCTTGCATTCCAAGAGTGGTTTGTAGACCTGAAGCTTGCAGCCACAAGCTAAGCCTGAAGTTCAGAGCCCAGCATTTTAGAGCAGGAGCCTGCCTTTCCCACAGGTGATTCCTGTGCTCAGGACTACGGGAGAGTCTGCTCTGGTGGATGCCTCCCTATCTCCGTGCGAAGACAAGAGGGCAAGAGGATGGCTTTGTAATCCCCTGAATGGCCGCACTCTGCTCTTCCAGGGAAGAGGTCTCGCTCCCTCCTTGCAGCACACTAGCCTTGGGGCTGGGGCTGGGAAGTTGGGACAGGCGTCTTCCAGCACTCACCCAGAACCTTGAAGTGGATAGTCTGGTTTGACCTGGGGAACACCAGCAGCTGCATGCCCTGCACCCCACAGTCATAGCTGTATCCAAGACTAGGCTTGGGGTTCAGATGCTGACCCAGTCTCAGGGGAGACGCCACCAGCAGAAGCAGAGCCACAAAGCAACTCCAGGCCATGATGGAGACTCTTCCCAGCATGCACAGCGGATGCCCACAACAGCCCCTGAGGCTTCCTCATCAACCAGCTGGGGTGGGGTGGGGGGCACACCCTTATGTGGATTAGGCAGCGAGCGGCAGCCTCTGAGGGCAAAGGGGTTCCACCTGGGGGAGCAGCTGCCTAGCCTGCAAGGGGCTATAGAGAAACTCCTTCCCCTGAAGGAAGCAGGGGAAGGCGCCTTCTCTCTTGGGTCAATCAGGGATCTTCAGAAAGCTGCACTTGCCCTCTCAACCCAATTTTCTGTGGCAGCTGAGACTGCCCAGGGATTTCTAGCAAAGAGGCTGCAGGAGCATCCAGGACAGCAGCCATGATCCTGAATGCCTTGGCCAGGTGCTTCCCAAGTCTCTCATAGGTGTGGGAGCTTCCTGCCTAGGAAGCCTCCTGGGGTCTCTTCTGCCTGTCAGGATCCTGGGAACAGAATTCGAGATTACTGCCCCACCCAACCCCAGCTCCTGGGAGAAGCTGGCAGTGTGCAGGGCGGGGGGAGGGTGGGGGGGTGAGCAATCGGAGAAGGGAGGTAGCACCTCTCAGGGGTTCTGGGCCAGTTCATCGTTAACTGTCACAGGGGAACATAGTCTGTTTGAAAAGTGAAATCCCAGATACATGATATCTGAAGTGTTCTGAGCACCAATACGACGACAAAAGTGGAAATCTGTCCCTGACTTTGTGAGCGGTCATAGTCAACACGCTCACGCACACAATACGGTATAAATCACAGTTCGGGTGCTGAGTCCACATGGTGATACATGCCTGTAATCCCAGCACCTAGGAGGCTGAGGCTACGGAAGGAGATCAAGTCTCAAAAACAGCAATAAACAAGACTGCCACTACCAAGAATATCTCCAGCCTATTGCGTAAAATGTATACGGGACATAAATGATTTTCTGCTTACTCTAGGGTGCTGTCCCTAGGAGCTAGGGAGGTAACTCAGTGGGTGAGAGTGCTTGCTGTGCAAGTATGAAGACCTGAGTTCAAATCCCCAGCACCATGTAAAAAGCCTGGTATTTGTAGCCACATTGCTCTTGGGGCCAGAGATAAAAGGATTACTGGGGTTTTCTGGCTGCTAGCCTAGTCCAGATTCACCGAGAGGACCTTTCCCAAGGGTGGTAAAGCAGGTGTGCTGGTTTATCTTTTGCCAACTTGACACAGGTTAGAATCATCCGGGAAGAGGAAACCCCAACTGAAAAGATGCTCCATCAGATTGGTCTATAGGCAAGTCTGCAGGGGAGTTTTCTTGATTGGTGATTGATGTAGGAGGGCCCAGGTCACTGGGTGGTGTCACCCCTGGACAGGTGGTTCGGGTTATATAAAAGAGCAAGCTGAGCGAGCCATGAGGGCAAGCTAGTAAGCAACATTCGTTCCTCCATGGCTTCTTCCTGTCCTGACTTCCCTCTGTGATGAACCTGCAAGCATAAAATGACATAAACCTTTTCTTCCCCAATTTGCCTTCAGTCACAGTATTTATCACAGGAGTAGAAAACAATCTAAGATAGTGGGGTACCAGATGTCCACCTCTGGCCTCTACTCATGCCTGTACTCACATGACACACACCACACACACACACATCCGTATCCCTTTCCCCCATATAAAACACTTCTAGTCCCAAGCAGTTCACATAAGGATGCTTAAACATAATGAATAACATAATAAATTAAACATAAATAAAATAATAAGAATAGATATCAATGTGACATCTTAGACACTGGGAAAGCTCAGGAGATGTATCTACCAGGATTCTTGACAGTAATAAATGCCTGGCACTATTAGAGCCATAGCAATAGCGACAGGGAAAGCGGTGAGGGGTTTCCAGTCTTCCTGGTTTTCTGGTCAACATTTATAAGAGATATCATCTGTGAACACACAAGAATGGGCAGGTGGGTACCAAGGCTCTGCTAGCCTCTCACTTTCCCCCAGCCTCTGAGGGAAGGTATCATTCTCGCCTTCAGAGCACTAATTCACCCAGAGCCCGCCAGAGTCTGAGTTCAGCAAAAGCTGGTAACATGGGTCATTAGTGTCCATGCAGACAGCATGTCATTAGGTCACTAGTAGTTCCAGGCTGGCTGCAATCTAGTCCATATGACTTCCCACTTGTGACCTGGGTGTATCTTTTTTTTTTTTTTTTCAAGCCTCAGGCTTCTTGTTTGGTAACTGGGTGAGCAAGAAAATCCAAAGACACCCATAATGGGTGTATTGAATTATATTTGGCAATGACTTAATACATGACTTTAAAGCATGGCTCTGGTGACGCTGGCTGAGCTGGAGGAAGCTGGGAGGGTGGCTACTGAAGCAATGCAGGGAGAGGCTCCCACCTGGAGTAGGATGGGGTGAGATGGAGTTCTGAAGGAAAGCTAACTTCAGAAACAGGGTGTTGGGCAGGAGAGATGGCTCTGCAGTTAAGAACACTTTTGCAGAAGTCCTGGGTTCCATTCCCAGGACCCACGAGGCTCACAGCCATTCATAACTCCAATTCTAATAGATCCAGTACTCTGTTCTGACCTCTGTAGGCATCAGGCATGTTTGTAGAGAACATAGATTCAGGCAAAACACTCACACACATTAAGTTAGTAAGCAAATAAAATTTTAAAAACTTTTAAGGAAAAAGAAACATTTCCAAGTTGAAAAAGAAGAGTCGGGCTTAGGGCTAGAGATGCAGTTCAGCTGAGCTCATGAGGTATGCAGGAGGCTCGGGGGGAAATTAAACGGGAGCTGGTAGCATACACCTGTAACCCAGCACTCTTTTATTTATTTATTTATTTATTTATTTGTTTGTTTGTTTATTTATTTATTTATTTTTATACAGTGTTCGGCCTGCACACCAGAAGAGAGCACCAGATCTCACTATGGATAGTTATGAGCCACCAAGTGGTTGCTGGGAATTGAACTCAGGACCTTTAGGAAGGCCAGCCAGTGTTCTTAACCTCTGAGCCATCTATCTCTCCAGCCCCCAGCACTCTTTTTAAGGTGGAGGCAGGAAGAACAGGATTTCAAGGTCATCCTGTTATATAGCAAGTTTGAGGCCACAGCCTGGGCTATGTGAGTAAGATTGTGTCAAACAACAACCCAATAACAAATATGACAACCAAACAACCACACAACAAAACAAAACAGGCTTGGTAGAGAAGGGTCGGGTAGGAAGAAGATATGGTGGGGGATGGGAAGTGGGGAGCACCCAGGAAAGCGGATTTCTCTAAGTGAATGATGTTTCATTAGGGCAAGCACTCTGCCACTCTGCCACATCCTGAATTGTAATCTGGCCACTTTGAAATAATCTCGGGCAGCCAGGTGGTGATGTTGCATACTTTTATCTCTGTGAGTTCGAGGCCAGCCTGGTCTACAGAGCACGTTCCAGGACAGCCAGGCATACTCAGAGAAACCAGGTCTCAAAAATTAAAAAAAAAAAAAAGAAGAAATAAATAAAATAAAATAAAATAAAATAAAATAAAATAAAATAAAATAAAATAAAATAAAATAAAATAAAATTTAGGCTTTTCAAGCTCACAGAAAAGAAACCCGGGTGGCCTTCTCCCGCAGTGTTGATGCCACCTGTCTGCACACATTCTTAGCCCCTGCGTTCTTCTCGGATCTGTGTGCATGTGTGTGTACGTACACACGTTTCCTTCTATGTGATCTGAGAGTTGTGCAAGCGGGTTCTTTACCTCTTGTCACGTGCATCCATTTATGTTGGTAAACTGTCGCATGCTGTTTGAGTTCATGAGAAGCAGGGGTTGCCCTCCCCCATTTCAGACCCAAATATGTTTATGTCAAGTGTCCTCCAATGTTCCCTGACCTGGGTCAGGCTGGTTCTCCAGCTCTAACAAGGAGGAAGGAAAACAGCAAACAGTACAGGCCAAAGACTGGCCCTACTGGAGGCCCATCCCATAGGAGAGAGCCAACCCCTGTCGCTATTAATGGTCCTCTGCTCTGCTTATAGACAGGAGCCTAGCGTAACTCCTCTGAGAGGCTTCACCCAGCAGCTGATGGAAACAGATACAAAGACCCACAGCCAAACATTAGACAGAGCTCAAGGAGTCCCATGGAAGATTTGGGGGAACAGTTGAGGGAAGTGGAGGTGTCCAGAACTCCACAAGAAAACCTATAGAATCAACTAATCTGGGTCCATGGGAGCTCACAGAGACTGAACCATCAACCAAAGAGCATGCTCGGACTGGTCCTAGGACTCTTGGTATATGTAACAGATCCAAAGTTTGACTTTCATGTGGGTTCTCCAACAACTGGAGCGGGGCCCTCTCTGACTCTGATGCCTGCCTTTGGATCTCGTTCCCCTAACTGGGCTGACTTGTCTGGCCTCAATGGGAGGCCAGGGTGGGTTGGAACCTATGGGGGACCTCCCCCTTTTTTGAGGAGAAGGAGAGGGGAGAATGGAGGGACTGGGAGGAGATAGGGGGCAGCCATCAGGATGTAAAGTAAATAAATAAATGGAGGGGGAAGGAAACCCCAACAACAAAACAGCGCACCCTGAAAAGTAGCCTAGACCATAAACTATTTCCATCCGAGGCTACCCTGCTTATCCCATAATATAAAAATGCCTACAGTGAGAGAGAGAAGGCGGGTACTGATACACAGAGAGAGGTGTGCTCTGCCCAGAACTCCAACATGGCTTCAGCAGGGCTCCCCACTTGCTTTCAGCTGGATGCCTGTAAGTGCTGGCTTTGATGGTAAGTCTCTGCTGATCTTTGATTCTTTCTTTGGAAGTTGCAACCAAGTGGGGCTTCTGTGCTCTTCCTGGGACTCTAAATCGAGAACTCCAGCTGCCTGCCTCAGCAGGGTTTCCCCACTATTTGCTGCTGGAGGTCTGTAAGCCCCAGATCTGACAATGTTATTGTTTGTTTGCTCTCTCTCTCTCTCTCTCTCTCTCTCTCTCTCTCTCTCTCTCTCTCATTTGGGCTGCTCTAGTCATCTCTGTTGGGTGCTCTGAGTGCCTGTTTGGATGGTGTTTTG